GAAAAATAAATCTGTTCTTTTTTTCTTTATAAAAGTCTAAATAAAACAAAAATATTGGTGGTAATTTTTGACTGTAACTTTACAAACAGCAGCCCATACCTATCAACAAAGCTGTCATTTCTGACTCAAATTTTCACTTAAAGGATTTTTATTTTCAAGAAAAATGACTTCATGGTTAAAAAGGTCCATAGATTGTTTATTACAACATACCATATTCTCAACAATTCAACATCAACAAAACTGTGTTAATTAAAAAAAAATCTGCATATTACCGTTATTGCACAGAACAATTTGAATGTATTTTCCATAGATTTCTTTTTTAGTATATTTTTTTGTAAAAAGTTGGCTTGGACTATACATAGTTAGTGTAATCCAGGGTCAAAATTAAAATGTAGGAATAACAGAAATCAAAAAAACAGTATCCCCAGATCACTCAGGACCAGGAAAAGGCTAAATACAGTAGCCACACTTTGAACAAAGAGCATTCATAATCAGCAAGGGGGAGAAGTGTGAGCCACATCCAGTGTTGGTTTTTTTCTCTTTTATGCAAAACAGATTGCACCAAAGCTCCTTCAGATTGCTCCATGGGTGAAACCATCTGTCAGTCCACCCATCTGCATATTTTGTCCATGTTCCAGTCATACTGTGACGTAATTTGTAATGTCATCCATCATAAATAACTTGATCCTCAGACGTGTTTGCAAAGCCCAACTTGTCCGCAGTGTGCAGTTAAAAAGTTAAGGCTGTATAACCCTTGGATTTTCTTTTTTTTACGCAGGACCAAATTGGAGCGTAATATGCAGAAATTCTTCCCATCCACCTCCGTACAAACAACGCACATCTCTGGGGAGAAGCAAACCTGTAACAGATCCAGGAAGGTATTTCCATGGCTTTTCTGGGAGAGGGAAGGTACTGTCATGGACAAAGCATCAATTATAAAGACAAATACATGAATGAAACTAAAGCAAAACCAAAATGTTTGGAGGTAACCAACAAGATGTCATAGCTTGAGGAGCACACTGTATCCTAAGATTAGAGCACCGTCATTTTGATTCTTTGCCATTGTGTTAAGCATGAAAATAACACCACCAGTGAATTTTTAAAGTAAGCACGTGAGGTGCTAACCTGGTGTGATGTTTTCTTTTCTTTCAGTTTGTATTAATGAAAACCAAAGCTACAACCTAATAACAATTAAGATCTTACACAAAATGCTTCTTTGTTTACTGTTTTTGCTCAAACCAGATTTATTTGAAATTTAGATCCAAGACATTACCCTCATAATTTACAGGTCACCCCGAGTAGAACTACAGAAGATCCAAAAACCTTTCATTTAGTTGGAAAGTTTGTTCCTAACTATTGTGTGTTAAACCATGTCATCAAAACTGTTGGGCATAATTTTGTAATGTTGTATATTTCATGTATTTGCCACAGAGGACTCTGGCCATACTGGATGAACGCCACTTAAAACATAGTGCTAAAAAAATCTGGGCATTATTATGCTTATTTTCATGTCTGTAACTTGTTTTAAATATTGACTTTATAAAATGTGTTCAATCAAACAACTGGAATTTTCATGTGCAACACAGAGTTCATATTAGTAAAAAATGGCTTTTGGTATGACCTAGTTTAATTCCCAAATGCACTGTTTTTTGTCAGAATCATTTGTGTTTTTGACAGTGTAGTCTGTTTTAGTCATTATTCATTACATCTTTTAGGTAACTGGATAGAAGCTGTCAAATTAAGTCTGTTTTATGTCGGTGGTTTGACATTTTTTAAAATTGTTAACTTGACATAAATGCTTTTACATATTTCCCAAACTTTTATGGAACATACTTGCAAGTAAATATTCTACAACGTTGTGAAACAAGTACATTTCAGACATATTATAGGAAAATGTGACTGTAAAAAGCTGAAACAAAAAGGCTATTGTTACATTGTAATAACATTTCTAACAAAACTTTATTGTATTATAGATTAACTAAAAAATATAACCCTTAGCATGTCTGGATGTGCTCATCAACCCATACAAGAAAAGAACAGCAACAAAAAACAAAACAAAACAAAACAAAACAAAAAAATTAAATGAAAATCAAACAGACAACAATTATCCAAATGTAATCTGCCTCTCATATTTTGGCTGTTTGAAACATTTTATTTTTATTCTTTTAAACTTTTTTTCCCATTAGTTATCCATAGGAATATGATCATTTTGTAACAAATCTGACTTTCAATGACTGCCCCACTGGCTTGTAGAAATGACCATGGTACTGGGTGTGGTTATATTACCTCCCACAAAAAGTCAGTAACTGGCCTCTTGTCAAGTCCACCAGTTGAGTAAAACAAAACAAAACAAAAATCCAAAAACATTACTCTATGTTACCACACCATTATCCACAGGTTTGCAAGAGGGAAAAGAAAAAAAGTCTTCTTTTCTTATTCGTCTTAAATTTCAGTCCTCGTTTAAATCATTTTCATGTTAAACTTGCGAGGAGCATCCACTGTGGTACTGCTCATGCCAGCGTCTGACTTCCGTGGCACATACTCAATCTCAATGTTGTGTTTAGTGTTGCCTTTGCCTCTGCTCCACAGGAACAGCAGTACCAGGCAAAATAGGACAACACCAAGAAAAGAGATGAACCCCATTGTGGTGGCAATAATCAGTGTTTTTATGTCAAATGGAAAAGGAACGTTGGCTTTTGTACCATTAGCACCAGTCTCTGTTGGCTGGTTGGATATGAAAGCAAACGTCTTGTTAGGTTGGTGTGGCCAGTCAGGTGAGTAGCTATGAATGTGAAGGTGGGCAAGAGAGGTGTCATTTCCGCCTGCGTTACTGGCTATACACACGTAAGTACCATTATCTTGAATCTGGGCATAGCGTACCTCAAGGGTACCATCTGACAACACAGAGAGCCTTCCAATAGTCTTGGTAGTGATGAACTTTTTTTGCGGAGAAAGCCACATAATTGCAGGAGCAGGATCACCATCTGCTTGACAAGCAAAATGAACAATGGCTCCTTCATCGACAAATTTCTGCTGGGGCCTTCGATCCCTAATCCTGGACTTGCGACACGTGAAATAGTTTGGCTGCAGAACGTCTGGGAAATCTTTGAACTCTTTTCCTTGAACAAACTCGGGAGAGGCGCAGGTGGGCTGCTGTTTGTTGAAGTTCAGTCTCCAGCGCCGTCGAAAAACCCACAAGAGTCGGCAGTCACAGGCCAGGGGATTATCGTACAATGCAAGGGTTTCTAGGTTGCCGACTGAATGGAAAGCAGACTCCTCCAAAGTGCTAAGGGAGTTTCCAGAAACATTTAGAATTTTCAGATAATTCAGGCCACGGAAAGAGTAGGGCTCAATCATCATTAATCTGCCTCCAACCAGATGAAATTCCTGCAGACGCAGAAGATCATGAAGCTTATTTCCCTCAATGGTATGGATAGGATTGTATGAAAGATTAAGAAAGCGCAAGTAAACCAAATGACGCAGAGCTACGTAAGGAATAGTTGTCAGGTTGGCATTGGCAATGGTCAGAGAAGTGAGATTTAATCCATACAAGCAATTTGGTGTCATTGTATCCAAGTATGGCCAATTAGCTATTTCCAGCACTTTTAGCCGATAGAGACGTTTAAAAGAGTAATCCCGTATGACGTTGATATTGAGGTGGCGCAGCCTGAGAGTGATCAAACTGTGGAGGTGGGTAAAAGCCTCTGTTGGCACAGAGGACAAGTTACACTTCTCAAGACTTAAATGCTCAAGGCTACTGAGGCCATGAAAAGCCCGGTGGGAGATGAAAACCAGGTCATTATCGCCCACCTCTAAAGACCGAAGGTTGTACAAATCCTGGAACATGTAGTCCAACAAGATGACAATCTTGTTCTCACTTATGTCCAGCTCTGTGAGATTGCTCAGGCCTGTAAATACACCTAGCTGAATCAGCTTCAGCTTGTTGCTTCGCAATCCCAATGTCCGCAAGCCATAAAGGTTATTGAACGCTCCAGGTTCAATTGTGGAGATCGTGTTTTCACTGAGCTCCAGGTGTTCGAGGTTAGGAAAGCCCGCAAACTCCTCTGGGTTAATTGTTTTGATGCGATTCTTGCTGAGGTCCAGCAGTCTTGTTTCTGCAGGAATGCCTTCAGGAACTATCATGAGTTTCTTGCGGTGGCACATCACGGAGCGCTCTTGAACATTGCACTCACAGCGGGACGGGCAACCTGTGGTGGAGCTGGACAGTACCGTGCCCAGCATCAGGATCAGAATGGGCTGCCAGCAAGCCACCAGGTAGCTGTGCCCAGTTGCTTCCCTGGCCACCATCTTATCGGTTACCTGGGGAGAAACAGAGACATGAAAAACATTCTGTTAGATGATGAACCTTTATCACTTTCACCTTATAGCACTTAGTGCAAGCATGGGCAGTCCTGGTCCTGGAGGGCCGCAGCCCTGCATGTTTTACTTGTTTCTCTGCTTCAACACACCTGATATGAATGAATAGATGATTATCAGGCTTCTGCAGTACGGAGGACCAAAACTGACATCATTAGAAATACAAGCAGAATTATATGAACCACTAAATAAATACACTTAAAATGCACCAATTAAATTAAAAAAGGAGAACTTTATCTACTGTTTTACATTTTAATTGGCTTTCATATTTATTTTTCCAGGTTAGTTCCAATAAATTAGTCTATGTATTTTAACACATAATTTAAATTTTACTGTTTTTTAATATATATTAAATGTTTTTCCTTTTATGTTAAAAGCGTTTGACACAGTTGATCATTATACTCTCTTACAAAAGTTGATTTCTTTTCAACTTTCATCATCTGCAATACAAATGTTTTCCTCTTATTTGACTGACAGGTGTCAGGTTGTGAAACATGGAAGCTCTGTGTCCGGGTCTCTGCCCTGTTCCGTGGGAGTTCCACAGGGTAGCACACTGGGCCCATTGCTTTTCCTATTATACATAAAAGAACTTCCAAAAATATTGAAGTATTCAAATATTTTAATGTATGTTGATGATACTGTTCTTTTTTTGTCTGATTTCAATATTGAATCTATTGTCAGTTACAAGCAGATCTTCAGACATTTCATGGTTGGCTTCAAGATAATCTTTTGTCAATTAATGTTAAAAAAAACTGTGTGCATGTATTTTTCCTCACCCAGGAGACATTTCAATATAACAAATCAACACTTTTTTAAACAGACCCCTTGATATTGTCACTACCTACAAATATCTTGGAATTACTTTGGATTCTCATTTGACTTGTCGTGATCATGTACAAGTCTTAACCACTAAGTTGAAACAGAAATTATACGTTTATTCMAAAATTAGATCCAATCTGACATCTTCTGTTTCAAATATCTATCTTCATGCCATTATACTCTCAACCATGTCGTACTGTTTACCTGTTTGGCCTCTTACAACAAAAGAAATCTTAGAACCCATAGTTAGGCTCTACAACAGGGCCTACAAAATTCATAAAAAACTTCCTGGTTGGACTCATCACTGTACAGTTCTTTCATTGTCTGATGCCTTGACTTTTCAGAAGTATGTTTTGTATAGGGGTATTAATTTATATTTTCAGATCTTCCAAGGTGCCAATTATGGAACTCTCTGTGCATTGTTGCCCAAATCAAATTCTGGAAGTGGTCATTCAACTAGATCTGTTACAAAAGGACAACTGATATTACCAACTTTTAAAAACTGTTACGGCCAGAGGTCTTTCTTCTATGTTTATGCAAATGCTGCCTTTTTGAAATTTGGTATGCTTGTTTGTCTTTGTGTCTATGGTGTAATAATAATGATGCAATTGTGATG